AATTTTCTTATCTGTTCAAACCATATTCTTTACAAATCACCCCTTGACAATCAAGAAGGGGAACAATTTAACTCATTCTACAGATGCTCTCTTCATATTCTTACATTATCTATTTGAGACAAAATTTTTATTTCAAAAGCAGTGAAAATGGCAAATTCTCTAAAGAGAAAAGCGTTTTCGATAGACGACAAAGTTAAAATTGTAAAGCGTATTGATGATGGAACCAATCAATCGACACTGTGTAAGGAATTTTCCTTGTCAAAATCTACAGTTTCAAACATTTGGAAAAATCGAAGTGCAATTCTTGCGGCATACGACAAAAACATGGTTTCATCGAAAAAACTGCGTCTAGCTGAAAGAGAAAACGTAGAAGATGCTTTGTCAAGATGGCTCGAAATCTTGTTCAAAATGTAAAAATCTTGCATTCTTTGCACATAGTCGATAAGAAAATTGATGAACTCAATTTAAAATCAAATTGTGTTCAATCAAAAATCACAAATTTTTTTCATAAAAAGTGAAAATAAAACTAATACTATTTAGCGACGTAATTACTTTTTCCATCAATTTTTTCTTTATTATCTGTTAATTAGTTAATAATTTTTTAAATAACTTATGCAAAATTACAAAGCCAATTTTCAATCATTCAACTGTCTCATGCAAAAAATATTCTTCAAAAAATTTGGATATAGTGAACCATCGGTTATAGTGGACACATTACTGAGTCCGCAGACGGTTCACTATAGCGGGGTTTAACTGTAGTTTGTTAAATATTTGGATCAATAGTAATCACTCTAATTTTATTTAATGATAATTTCTTAAATATTTTAATTAATATTGAAATAATTGCATTTTAATCGAAAGAAGGTGAAAATGTCTAGTGTTAAATCCTGACTATTAAATTAAAAAGAAAACAATTTTTAAAAATCTTCAGGTTAACATGTTGGGCACTCATTCACCCCAAAACTAGTTATCTCTCATTTTATTCCCTTTTTCTGCTGTATTTATAAATCCCAAAGCAGAAAAACTTGTTTTAAACTAAATTTTTGTGAGTTTCACTTCTTCCGACCTTGATATTTTTTAGTCTTATCTCTGTAAAGTAATTTAAGCTTTTATCAAATAGCCACACCATATGAATTGAGTCTATGGTCATATTTCTATCTCTGTAGCATAAGCAACATCAGCAATTTGACTTAAATAATAAGTGATTCTGCTTATGAGTTAGTCAAATATGTCAGAAATCATTGTATAATTCTCAAATAAAAAATACCACACAAACTGATTTATGTTGGCTGAATTAAAATAAATTTCAGGTGAAAAATTTTTTTTTCCTGCTTTAATAGCATAAGGAGAAAATTAAAATAATTCTAAGTATCAAAATATTGTCCTGCTATTACTTAGTGTAAGTATTTGATCAGTTCTGATTAAAAACTTTAATTTGAAATATAACTCTTTCCTTGTTGACTAACTTGCCCTTCCTGTCTTTACTTCTCTTTAACAATACTTGAAATACAAATTTATATTATTTCACATCTATATACCTTGTAGTTTTTGAAAATTTTAAATGTTTTAAATGGTTTTTATTAGTATTTTAATGGGAATCCACTTTTATTAAAAAGATCTAGAAATTCCGAAGTCTTGTTTCCTAAGAACCTGTAGTTTCCAAAGTCTAGTAGAATCGCCTAAATAAATATAATGAAATCACTGAATAATATTGCAAATGATTTTTTAAAGCATTTATTTTCTTTTTTTTCCAGGCTCGTAGAAATTTTGTAAAGAGTATGGCAGCCTATAGCGTTATTGGATTTCTTTTACAAATTAAAGATAGGCATAATGGCAACATCATGGTCGACACTGATGGTCACATCATTCATATCGGTTAGTTTCATTTGTTTTAATGTGGCATACTTTTATGAAAACTTCCATGATTCTTAACTATGGAAATTTTCATCGAAATCTAATATATTAAAAGTTATTCAAAACTCTTTACCATAAGTGACTATATATATTTATGTTAAAGATGTGTGATTTAAAAGGTAATAATTTTATTTTAGACTTTGGATTTATGTTTGAAAGTTCTCCTGGTGGAAATCTTGGATTTGAACCTGACATAAAATTGACAGATGAAATGGTCATGATTATGGGTGGAAAAATGGAGGCACAACCATTTCGATGGTTTATGGAATTGTGTGTGCAAGCTTTTCTAGCTGTCAGGTATGTTGAAAATACTTTATTGAAGTTGTTTGACATTTTTTTTTATAATTCTTTTTAAACATATGCAGTTGAGCCTAACGGCACAAGACGGTTTCTATTTAGAGATATGTTATTGTCTGGGCTGTTTCATAATAGAAAAATCTCTTTATAAGAGTGACTGTACTTTTAAAGATTTTTAATTTGTACAAAGATTTTTTTCATTTTTTATTTCAACAAAACGATTTTCTGTTAGAGGAAATAAGTTTCGTTGCAATAGAATTAAGGAGGATGTTAGGTTAGAGGATATCATCAACTGTGATAAAAACATTTTAACTCATTTAAGAGATGTAGATGAAATTTACGAGTATATTATAAATGAAAATGAAGAAAGAGACATTGAAAATGAAGTGATAAATGAATCATCGCTGCTTTCTTATACAGATGCAACTATTTCTATTTTAAGAAGTCTTATTATCTCTACCTCTGTGGAAGATGGCTCCCTTAATATGTTTGAAAAACTAGAAGAAAAAAAAACTTCTCGATTAATTTAAAAACTTTCGGAAATGACACTAAATACTAAAAAAATGAAATAACATTAAAAGTCTCAAACTTTTGACTGCGCTCATGACTGAATTAAAGCATTTCTGTAACAGACCGTTCTAGGTCAGCATGTGGTTAAGGTTTCACAATTTTGTGATTGTGGTCACTGGTCAACATTGGACACCCTGACTAAATTATCGGGACATATTTTTCAAATTGGAGCTGCATCCATATTTTGATAGCCAAAGATCTAAACCCATTGAAAAAAATGGTTATTCGGAAAAAGTATATTTTCATGTTTGAATCCATATTTGAATTATTCGAAGCAATTATTTAGCAGCATATTTAAAATAACATCTTTGAACTATAAAGATTGGCACTTAGTTTGTTGAAATCCAATCCTTTCAACAAAAGTTATGCTAGGTGATATTTTTTTTCCAGCTCACTGTAAAACTCATTTGATTGTGAAACACATTTGCATTGTAAAACTCGCTTGTTTTGGTTGCAGGCCTTACAGAGAAGCTGTCATATCTTTGGTAACGTTGATGTTAGATACTGGATTGCCCTGCTTCAGGGGCCAGACTGTGAAACAGCTTCGAGCTCGTTTTGCCCCGAATGCCAGTGAGAAGGAGGCAGCAGCCTTCATGCTAAAAATAATCAGAGACTCTTGTTTGAATTTCCGCACCAGGACCTATGATATGATACAATACTATCAGAACCAGATACCTTACTAATGTATCAATCATTTGTTGATGTTTAGTCTCATTTAAATTATATACTTAAATATATGTAAATTTGTTAGTTTATATTTTGTTGATCTTGTATTATAGTTTATGAAAAAGACTGAAATAAACATATTATATATGTGTTAAGTCACTGTGTTATGTATGTCTGAAACATACATTATGTGCCTAAAAACTGATTGACTTGATTACACTCTCCTAAATTATGTTACACCAAGAATTGTAGAGTTAAATAATAAAACTAGATAGTATGTTTACTAATTATGTAAAATCTTTATATTTTTGCAGTTCTTTTCACTTTTTTTATTTTTTATAATTTTTTATCATTATTATTTTTTATTAGCTTTGATTGCTATAGTTTTTTGTTTTCATTAATGTGCAAATTTTAAAAAAAAATAAGATTTTCGTTGCTCAAGTGTCCTGAATAGTCAAACTTATACTGTATAGGGATTATCATATGAGTTACAAGAGATAATAGATATATTTCCAATCCATGCAAACTGGTGTTATAGCTATATAATAGTAACATAATCTAAAATGCCTCATGCATCAAGGATGGATTCTAAATTTATTTTTTATAGTCCATTTTTGAGAAAAAAAATATTTCTATAAATTTTTTTAAACCGTTTAAAATATTTTATTTTAGCTGTCGCTATATTTTATATTAAAATAAGTATTTCAAAACAAAAATGATGCAGTGACTTAAAAACTTTTTATATATTTTTGTAATGCCTTATTAAAAACACATATTATAATCTGGATTTTTGGAATAGTTGGTTACTCCTTTAAATTTATAAAAAAAAAAAAAATGTTTTATGTCTAAAATACATCATTAAGTGATTAAATTATTGATAATGATTTAAGTTTCTAAGCTCTTGTAAATGGTCATTCATATATTTTGCTTGTCTGGTTCATTTTAATTTATACTGAAAAACAAATCTATTAAAATTTACAAAATAATAACTTACGATTCTATTATAAATTACTTGTAGTAAAATGTGGATCTAGTGTAAATCCTTAAATAATTATAATTTGTAGAATCCAGAATAATAATAATTGCACTTTTTTTTAAAAATTTTTAGAGTAAAATTTAAAATAGAGAACTGAATTTTAAAACAGAGATAACATTTGTAAATTACGGACATTTTGTAGCACAGATTGTAATAATTAACAGATTAATTGTACTGTGTACACACTAGAATTATGGTTTAAATATTTAACCATATAGAAAAAACTTTATTTTACTTAATTTCTAATTCTTTTTAACTATTTACAGGCTAATTAGTCTAAGGTTTCTTATAAAAATTAAATTATTAATAAAATTAATTGAATTTTAATTTTTTTTATGAATTTTTTTTTCTTTTCTTTTTTTTAATTATTTATCAGTGTGTTAGAAATTTTTGTTGCTTTCATTGTTGGCATGAAAAGGGAAGATCTGAAAAGGTTATAAAAATTTTTTATCACCAAGCAGATTTTTTTTTTTAATAGCAATTAATTTTTGTAATTCAGAATGTATGAAAAGGGTGTCATCATTCACTAATTGATGTTCAAAGCGACTGTAAGAAGAAAAGAAAATCTAAAAATTTTAGTAAAAAATTTAGTATTTTAATTTTTTGATAGCATTCAATTAAGATAATATTAAGGTGAATTTTTAATTCGTCTGATTTTAGGAGTGTTCTTTTTTTTAAAATAAAGGTGGTATGAAAATAAAAACCAAATGAAAGAAAATTTTCAAGAAGCAAATTTATTTTCAGATTCTGCATACGTTTATCTTTTTTTCGGCATAGTTGTCGGGTTTGTTTAAACACTTATCATACCTTACAACTTGATTTAGAATACCCTCTTCATACAAATTTGCCTCCTACTCCGTTAACCAAAAGGTAACAGTTTTCACTTATTTGTCATCATTGCAGCGATTGCAACCAAAATGATGTTTGAAATTATGGGAAAGATGAAAATCACTTGGGGCAAGGTCTTTGTGCTGTAGGCAGGGGCGGATTAAGCGTACGCAGGGCCCTAGGCCATTCTTTGGGGCTCTTAGATTAAATTTTTTATTTATTCAAATATAAAAGTATTTATATATCTTTTAATTTAAGAAAGCATATTTAAAATTAAATTTTATTTTATTAAATTAGAACTAAAAAATAATCATAAAATTTTGAAAAATTGTTTTTCTTAATTTATTTTCAAAAAATCCATTTTAAGGGGCCCCTAATCACTTGGGGCCCCAGGCCATGGCCTAGTCTGGCCTAATGGGTAATCTGGCCCTGGCTGTAGGAAGGGGTGGACCAAAACTTCCCAACCAAAAGAGTTCAATAAAGCTGGGATCTGAGCTGCAGAGAGAGTCATTGTCATAGAGTAGTAAAATTTCCTGTCAGCATGGCAGGGAATTTTGCTACTTCACAAATCTGTCAACGAATGCATGCAGCAGACAGGTTTTTTGCTGACTAAAAACACATCACTGACAGTATTTCGTATGTGGCGGGCGATTTGTTAAATTTGAACATTTTAAAGACACAGAGCTGACCGCACAATTGTTCCAAAAGAATGCAGAGATGCCTACTTGCTCCGGACAGCAAATATATATTTTAAAGTGGTAGTTTATCAGTTGTGATCCTTGGTTTAATAAATTCAATTAAGTAGATTTTTATCCACCACTATTTCTAAATAATTCGTAGGCTAATATAATTCACCCCTTTACAGTACTTTAGTCATGCTATACCTTTTAAAAAGCAAGCAAAAATAGTCAAATATTTACTTTGTAGTTATTTACCGTCTTTTTAAAAAAATATTTTGGCGTGTCCGGAGCAGTTGGCATCTTTGAGGAATGCTGGGACCCTTATTAATGAACACAGCAAAACGGTCCTTACTTAAAAAGCAACCCTCGTATAGTACAAATAGTGCATTAAAATCCACTATCTAACCATGTGAGAATGAAAAAGCTGTTATACAGGCTGCAATTAAAAGTTTGGGGAAAATGGTCTTTAATAACTTTTTTAACTGTTATTAATATACAATAGTTTTTTTAAATTGCTATTAGCTCCAAATAACATTACACAAATACAAAATTGTTCCTCATACAGTATTAGTATGTTGTCTGCAATATTAAATCCTTTTTCTGTTAAGGTCACATTTAAAAAGTTAAGATTTCAGATAAATTGGATTTCAATTGTAAATAAAACTGATTTTTTTCTTTTAGAAAAATCATTGATTTAAATTAAAGGATTTTTTTCAAAAAGAGAAATCATCTATGTAAGAATTTACCAACATTTTATTTTAAGACTATTTCAGATTTTAATTGATTTTCATATTTTTAAAGTTTAAATGTAATGCCATACCATTAAGTTTCACTTAGTGAAATTACATTAGTTATTAGGTTGTAATAAATAACAGCACTTTTAAATTGACATCTCAAAAATCATATTTATTATTTTTGATAAACATTCATTAATGCAAATAATGAACAATGGGAAAATTTAAGGCCGTTTTTTATACATCTGTAAGAAAAAGGTAGTACTTTTTGCAAAAAAAACATGTCTGTAATGAAATGCCTCCGGGATCGTTCACGGGGATGTTTCCTAATCGCCACTAATAGCCCATTGGTCAAACTCTAGTGTGACGTAAATAAGTACCACTGCTAAATTATGTAAAAAAATATACAATTTCTATGGTTAAATCTACAAATGGAGAAAAGTGATTAAGTATTCAAAAATTCATTAATAACAAACAATTCATAAATTAAATTACATTTATTTGGTTCATTCAGATCAATTTTATCACAATTTTCGACTGACAATAGTAAAAAGAGAGATAAGGAAGAATTTCGATGAAAGATGTATATTTGTACAAGTTTTAAATGCATATGAAATATAAATTCAAGTCTATACAGATAAACATGCAAATGTTTATCAAAAATTCACTGTTAATTTTCAAAAACAAGGGGAGCGTACTGTGTACGCCAGTCAATGAAAAGACAGCTGCCATTTCCATAATAATCACGTGATTCACACCAGCATTTTATTAACCCTCTTTTTGAAGTCTATTCAGAAGTTGAAAGTCACATGAAAAGGATGAAAGAAAAATAACTACACGACCATAAATTGCATAGGATGCTTACATTTTGTACGCAATCACATAAAAATAACCAAGCACATTTGTGACACTTGCAATGATCGTTTAAAAAAATGTCGGTGATCTATCCGAAATTGTTTTTGTTAATGCCCATATTTTTGGATTTATTTAAAAATCGTAATATAATATATAAAGGATGAATTAGTGAAACTGGAAGCAATGCAGAAGAGCACGTTCAAAGTTTAAATTGCCACAGTTTATTTAATAATATATAATAAATTGTCAATTGTTCAATTTAATTAAAAGTCAAAATTGAAATATCAATCACATTTTTCTCTGTATTTTTATCATATTTATCTTAATTAAATTTATTTTTCTTCCAATGTATTTTTTATAAGTTATATAAAATTAATAAACATTGTATTAAACAGAAATATCTCAAAAGAATTATAGTGAGGCATTAAAACAAAGTGCACCACCATGCTCTTATGTTACTCCAGCCAATCTTCTTAAAGGTTAACTGTTAGATAATTTCAGTTAAAATTTAAATAAAAATATTTTGAGGATATTTAATCATTATTTTAACAATCTGGTACCCACATTGTAATTCACATTTTAAAGTTATCCACTAAAAGATATTCAACATCAATATGACTTTATTTACTTAATAAAAACTTCAATTTTTTAATTTAAAATAAAAAATTTTAGGAAGAGAATTTAACAGTTTGCAGACAATTATTTATAATCGAATGCAATCCAGATTAGGTTTTTTCACTTTAAAGAAGACTGTGCTCTCTTTTTGCACTAATTAAAATAAGCTGTTGTTCAAAGTTGAACATATTTTTTAAAATCTTATATGAAACTTTTCAATTAAAGAATTAACAAAAAATTATGCTCACTCATTCAGAAATTAGCAAAAGAGTAATTAGACTAAATTACAAATCAGTTTTTAGAAAATTTAAAATAAATTAATAAGCAAACATAAATCAGACTTGCCCATTAAAGAAAATTAATTGCTTTGATTTGAGTTCACATTTTCGATTTTCCCAAAATTTCAACACTTCAAAAAAATTACTGTTACTTAAAAAAAAAAAGAGACCATTTCTGTAGCATGTTTGTGCTAAAATGGCAAGAATAGTTGCGTGTCTCTTGTAAATTTAATTTTAAAAACACTGAAGACAGTGGACATATGAATTAATGCATAATTTTAAAATACAAATATATTTTTGTTTTAGATTAAAACAGTTCTAACAAATTTAAAATGGTTTGCAAATACTAAGAGCTCTTGAAAATTGGGAGTCAAAATTTAAGTTCATTTAAAGTATTTTTCATGGCCTGTATTTACAGTAGACATTCTAAAACACAGAAAAGTTTTTTCGAATGTTATTTAACTTTTAGTGTGAAAGAGGGCAACTTCACACGTTTTGAACTCTTTGCACAGCAGACAATTTTTATTAGGAAAAGTCAAGAGAATTTAAGTCATTGTATGCATACCCACAATGAAATTTGCTTCTTTACAGCTTTCAAAATAAAATGTGGTTGATAAAAAACAGCGTAATTTATTGTGGAAGAAAGAATTTCACACAACTTCACACTTTTTGAACTCTTGGCACAGCAGTTAATTTTTATTAATAAAAGTCAAAAGAATTTAAGTCACAGTAAGCATAACCACAATGCAAAAATTTGCTTTCGATAAAACGTGGTTGATAAAAAAACTTGTCTTTTAAAAGAGTTAAAACTATTAAAATTTCAGTAATTCATGTTACCGTCAAAAATAAGAGGGACAATTTTTGCTCCTTTGCCCTTAAAAGGGTGGAACAGAATTGAGCATCTAACAGTTAATTAAGATTCATCTGTAATTAAAAAAGTCATTAAATATGTGAATAGTTGCTATGATAATATAAAGAGCAGGAAGAGCTGAATTTAAATATTTCATATACATAACATATATAAGGTAATCACATGAAGGGTTGAAAGGTCAAATTTAAGGTGGAAGTAATAAAAATGTTGTGCAATCACTAGAGAGGAGGGAAATACCTGTAAATTATTATTTGATGTTTAAAATAAACTGAATAATAACTATGGATTAAAGTGAATTTTTTTTAGTATAACTTTTCATTAGCTGTATGCAAAATAATTTGCTATTTAATTAACATATTTCAAATATAACATTTCAGTTTTATGTTCATTTGAACAAAAATACTTTTAGAACTTATTATACACGTAGTTTGTTTTCATAAATTATGACGACGGAATTTAGAACAAATGTTTTAGTGTTAATGTTTTAGTACTATTTAGTGTTTCCTGATCTAAACTAATTTATTTTTCATTAAATATCTGACACATTTTTGATTCTATGTCTTTAAAAATTCATTAAGAGTATTGAGCTGGAATAAACACGGCTATAAGTTTAATTTTTCAGTAATTAGTTTGTAATAATTAATTATATAATAATTTTAGTTAAAATGATTTAGATTGGTATATGTAAGCAAATAAAAAAATCTAATTTAAATAAAAAAAGAGATTTTTTTAAAATCTTTTTCCTAAAAAAAGAGAAGAAAAAGAGAAAAAAAACAATTTTTGCTAACTTTGTCTTGCAATCAAACTGGTTTTATTCTCAACCCACTTCAATAGTTACATATCAGATTTTGTTAATGTTTTTTTTCCTCCCTTGAGTTTTAATTTGCAATTCACATACACTTTTTTTTACTTCTTAAAGGATTCTAAAAATATATATTTAAGAGAATTGATCATAGAACACTCTCTATTTTGTTATGCAATAAAACAGACAGAATTTGATAATACAAAAATAGTTGCTTCCGTAATTTACTATCTTCAAGGCTGATAAATTTTTAGAAATATTTTTAAATCATGTTTAAGACATTAAATAAAAGATGGAAAAAAAAGGCAATTCAACTTTTATGATACTGATACATAATAGCAATGTTTAGTGCAAACAGTGAAAATATATATTTTTTTAATAGCCAGTTAACACATAATTCACAGAACACTATTTTGTTCAACAATAAATCAAACAGAATTTGCAAAATAGAAAATTAGTTGCTCTTGTAATTTACTATCTTCATGGCAGATTAATTTTGAAAAATATTTTTAAGTCATATTTAAGACATTAAAAAAAAGGCAATTCAACTTTTACAACTTTCAACAATTTCAACCTTTGTTACATAATAGTAATGTTAAATGCAAACAGTGAAAATATATATTTTTTTAGAATAGCTAGTTAGCACATAATTCACAATTGTGTATGTAAAATGTAACATTACACATTGTTAAGCCAAACATAAAAATTAAGTAATTAGGTAACTTAAAAAAAAAATCTAACTTTAGCATACTGTGCTTATGTTATAACATGCAAGTGTGATAAGATATAAATAATAAAATTTTATAGCACGCAACAATTTTTCAAATATTACATGAACATATATTTTATACAAAAACAAATTTTGCATATTTATTAGACTATTTCTAGCAAAGTTTAAAAATTCAGTAAAAATGTAAACGTTTTAGTTGATTGCTGTTCATTAGGGATGGCTGGTTCGTATTTTCTATAATAGTCATTTTGTATCTTTTTAAGAATCATACCTGTTATAAAAACATGTTACTTTCAAATACCTGTTACAAAACACTAGGCTAAAGCAGTACTTGCAGTACCATGTAACAAAAGTATATTTTCAGAAATGGAGTATTATTTGAAGACAGTATGTAAGCTGAATGAGGCTCTTAAACATTTAATGTTTTTATTTAAAATTGTCTCTGAGAATCTTTGGTACTGAGCACTTATGTTGTAAAGCTTTCAAAAAAGTAAAACATAAAGAAATAAAAACTGGACTATACTTCAAAATAACATAAATGAGTGGATAATAAATAAATTTTCACATATACATATATATATATATATCACCAATTCACAAGGAGTGAAAAAATAGTTAATATTCAACCTTTAATGTTCAAACAATACCTCAAGCACCAAAAACCATTTATATCTCATTGCTGGTTTTTAATTATCCAAAACATTTAATCTTTTTAACAGTTCCCTTTTTTTTTTTAAAGTTGCCACCATCTTAATGACTTAATTGAATAAAATGAATCAAATTTCAGTTGGAATGAATTCTCCCTTTATTTTTAAATTTACCGAATCTAAGCATTTCAGCAATATCAATGTTTATAATTCTCGTATGTGATATTAATTATATAACTAATTAGGAGTTTTTGCTATAAAATTTATGCAATGCAAACCACATACATTCTACAAGAAACAGCTTTGTTAAAAAACCTTGCTTTTGTCCAAGGTGTTTAAAAAAGTAAAGTAGTAAAAATCAAAGAGGCATAGCTGTAAACAGGGATAGGAAAAATTCCAGTAGATTTTTTAAATAATATAAACTTTATAATAATTGTTGCAAAATATTTTATACATAAGGAATTTTAAGGTTTTTTACAGTCATCAAAAAAGAAAAACTGCAATATTTTCCAGTTATGATTGACGTTGTAACTTGAGACGTTATGTATTATGTTTACTCATAATTTTGAATAGTAAAGCAATTTATTCATCAAAGATAGTTAAAATTTTGTTTAATTTATTTAAAAAGGGAATTGTATATAAACTGAACATTTTAGAACAAAAAAGTTTTTAACTGATTTTTATAAATTAGGATGGCTTTATTATATATCAGTAATACTTACATATTCAAGCAAGCAATAATTTGTGCAAAAATTCTATTTCAATAGGGATTTTTTTTTTTAGGAAACTTACTCAACTTTAGGGATTTTTTTTTTTTAAATTTACAAAAAACAGGCAAATTTTCATTAGTTTACTGGAAAATCCAGAAGAGTTGGCAGCTATGAATAGGGATTCATACATTGTTTTCCTAAGAGTTATGAATATCTATTGATTTTGCTGGTGTTTTGTTGTTATTGAGAACATGTAGTTAACCTACGACTAATATTCAAACTATGGCTTCAATCTATAGATACTGATATTCAATTTGAACCTGCAAACAACTTTTGTGGAAATCTGACATAATTACTCATTATTATTTATTTCCTTGACTATTATTACCAAAAATTACAACTTTTTGCAAACATTTGGTACAAGAAAAATAGATGTGGGCATGCTAACCATTGTACCCAAAATAATAACATTGTTGTCTCTTTCAAATTTAACTTAAGAGGCTAAAGTTTCTTATTTGCTATGCTTAAACTTTCTAAAAGATTTTATATTCAACTTTTACTTTAAAGGTAGCTATTTTGCCATTATTATCCTCAAGGTAAAATGGGAAATTCTTGATCCCGTCCCAAAATGTCACAAACTATGTCTGTCATGAACATATTTTTTCAGCTTAACAAGCAATTTCTTTTTTAAAATAATATTGAAATAGTAAAATGCACGATTAGTTGTTAATATTCAGAATTCGCCAGCCTCATGCCGTCCACATATTTCAAACAAAAGGAAAGCTAGTAAATTCATACGAAGATTAACAACCAGGGGTAATGTATTTCTATTATTTTTCAAGTAATCTTTCAGTGTCAGGAAAATTTATTCTACTTGGTACAAAATGTACAAATTTGAAACAAGTTGTTTTTTAGAAATTATTTTTTCACTTGAATAACTAACAAAATTAGATTATTGATATGTTTACACCACAAAATATTACAGAGAAGTTGAATTGGTTTAAATAAACTGATTAAAATCAATTATAAAAACCAATAATGAGATATGAATATTTACATTAAAAAAGTTTAGTACCTTTAAAATACTGTTTAGAACACAATTGGTAAAAGAATATGTTAAAAACAAAGAACACTTTCAAGGTAAGTCTAGCGAATAGCATTATGTTTAACCATTACCAAAAACGGTTAAATGAAACTTAGGTGCAATATTACGGTTTTGATTTACAACCTCTTTTTTTTAAGAATTAAGTCTTCACAACCATATAGATAAAGTTAAGCACAGCAAGCCATCACAGTTTCAAGAACATTGTAACTGATCCACTAAAGCTGAAGCAGCGAGTTCTACATTCCAGTCGACCGACTGCAATGCCTTCTCGCAATCGCTTTTGGATGCAATACCTAGACGACATAGTTGCATCAGTTGAAGCGCTTTCACGGCTTCACTAAAGTTCCCCTTATGCTCTACATAAGCGGCGTGACACTCATCGAGGCTGACACCCGACACGCGTGCCTGCATCAAGGTCAATTGACTTTTCAGCAGGTCAGCATTAGTTGAAGGATTTGGCAAACCAGGCATAAAAGTAAACATTGTATTGTTGTTGGAAAGATTGCATTTGGAAGACACGGGGTTGTTTATGAGGAAGGGTTTCACTTCTGCTGTATTTGGAGGTACAGCAGGGACAGGGGGAGGACCAGCCTGTACAGCCGTGGGTGACCTAACATCGCGAGGGAAGCTTATGCCAGAGTCTGTTGTCACGATCCTGTTGTTACGTTTTGCATGCTGCTGGGGTGGCTGAAGCAGCGGGATTTTCACAACGGTTTTTTTACCACTCTCGCTAGAAAAGTTTGTCTGCATTTCTTTTTTACCAAGTGTTTTTTTCAACTCCTCCAGCATTTGAGTCCTATCACACGTCGTCGCCGTCTGAGACTTACTGATCGGGAACTTGCTGAGCGGTTGGGTTTGGATTTGGGGTCCACCAAATGCTTCGAACAGATCATCAAAAGGAGAGGCAGCTGCTGATGAAAGTCCAGATGAAGAAGTAGTTTGAGTTTGGTAAAGGTTCCGATATGAATGACTTTGTTCCACATGAAGGGTGGGGCAACTGCCCATCCGCGTAAGGTGATTGCTAGTTACAGAAGGCGTGAGCATGTAGTTTCCCTTTGTTTCAGCAACAGGAGAGTAATAATTAGAAGCGACAGAATTATCCGGTGGTACAGAATAATACCTGTCGACAGAACTCTCAGAGTCGGATGGGGGCACATTGTAATACCTATCTTGAGTAAAAGTATTATTGGTGTATGTAGATGATGTATCATAATCTGGAGAACTCTTTCTATCAACACAGCACAAGTTAGAGAAGGTATTTGGCAGAGTCAAGTCAATGAGTGATGATGATGTGTGAATTGACGGAGTCATTCTGGGAGAAGGAAGTAGGAATGGGGAGGAGGGAGGAGGTGTGTTGACTGATATTTCATTTGTGAAATCTATTAGAATTCCTTCTTTGACTTCTTTCTTTATTTTGGATTTAAATTTTGGGGCAAAAGATTTTCCAACGCCATTTTGTTCATTTTCTAATTTGTTATAACCAAACTGTTTTGTTACACTTTTTTTAGAACTACCATCACTGCTTGTAGATACTGGTCCTGAAAAGGATTTTTTTTAAATTTTATAAAATATCATTTAAGTGACAGAATATAAAAGCTAAAATATCATTTAAGTGACAGAATATAATCTAGATACATAGACAATTAGATTAGAATCTAATAATCTATGTATCTAGAATTTTGTTGTTGGATAAAAATGAATTTGATATTATACAGTGATAAAATAACATAGAATATGTCAAACTGAAAGCATATGTACAGGTTAACTTTATTAATACATGATATTCAATTTCAAACCCAGATTATAGCTATAACTAGAAAATAATTTGATTATTTTAAGATAGCTAAATTAAACACATATTAAGATTTAAAAAAAATATTAAGATTCAACCAGAAAAAAGAAATTGGATTCTAAAATAGACTAAAAAAAAGGATCAATTGCCTTAAACGCTATTTTTGTACTTCATTGGAAATTAATGGGATTAGAGTTTGCTAAGATTAAAATCGTGAATTAAATTGCAGATTTTATTCATTGACAATAAGAATATAGTATAAATTCTATAGTTTTGCAAACAAATAAAAAAGAATTAAATGTTTTTATAGAAGGTAAAAACTGAAGTATGAAAAAGATAAACTTACTTGCATTTCTATCTCTTAACTTTGGTGCGGGAGGAGGGTCTTCTTTAAGTCCTAACAAATCAGGTGGCTCCATAGGATTTTGTAAATACATCCTAAAAAATGTAACAAACAGGTAAATAATGTATTTCGAATACAATAATATTTTAGCTAAGCTTTTAGACTCACTCATCAATATGACCCGGATTTCCCCATGATTGTCCATGAATATCTCCATGGCCAGTGTGGATAAAGCTGTTTCTTAATGGCCTGCTGATATCATCACCAGTCCTTGGCTTTTGTCGGTCAGCAACCAAACGAGGAAATAAACCAATTTCAAAAGTGCGCTGATTTTGACCTTTCCACCAATAAAACTCTTGCCTATTGAAAATAAAAAACAACTTAAAGTACAGTGATAACGTTTGTCTTCATAAAATCAAAGATGGCTGTATAAGAAAAAAAAAATTGCAAATTAGAACTTTTTTTATAAATTTCAGGGGAAATTAAATTCAGGGGTATATCCCAGAATTCTGAGTTTTTTGTATCATCTCTCCAGGTCCAGAAACTAGAAGTAGGGCATGTAAATTTCTTTGGCGGAACTTCGCCCATCTCAAGATTATAAGTTTTTTCGGGACGTTTTCATTCGGGTTTCTTTGTTTACGAGACGCTTTCATACATGTTACTATTTCGCAATTGTGATGATTTTTTTTCGTGGTTTGTCGGATTTTTATCGTTTTTAATATTTAAAACTATGCCGGAATTCTCTAAAATCGCAACTCATATTCATGTGATTTTAATATCAAACATCAATTTTCGTATTGACTTGATTCAAAAGTTACTCATTGTGAATCATATTTACACGATTCAAAAACTGTACATTGCGGTACATATTAAAGTACACTAACACTTTTCACACTTATGGGATTTAAAAGTCGCAAGTCTTTGCAATCTGTATTTACGTGATTTAAAAATCCAACATTCCGATTTGTATTGTTGCGTTTTTAAATACAATATCGCGATTCATATTCATGGGATTTTAAAACCCAAATATAGCGATTTGTATTTTTGCGTTCTTAAAACCCAATATTACAATTCTCGTAAGAACTTAGCTAAGTTTTATCTTAAATTAGTTACTAAAAGTGCAATATTCTTTATTGGTAGGTAATTTCATTATAAATTGTAGCCCCAAAAATTATATTAAATTTGAATAGTATATGAATTGATGTGTTGTTAAGTTTTTGCACACACAGTTTTCAGGGTTTTTCACTTTGTGTCACAATCACCGCTGAAATTTTAAGAGACTTAAATCTACAAAATATGATCAGTTTTCTTCACTTGAAAATGAATTCAAACGATTTTATTGTTTTACAAACCTTTTAAAAATAGAATTAAAACAAAATTTATCTACCTTTTTAGAAGGGAAAAAAAAAGGATGTGTAAGTACAAAACAAATAGTATTTCTGTATGGAATTGAGAGAGTAATTAAAAATAAAGTGTCATTAGGAAGAGTAAAGAAGAGATGGACAAAACTAAAAGACTTTTTTTGCCATGTGACTACAGGGTGTATCAGAATAAGTGCTTCTAAAGTAAAGTCAGAGTAATAAAAAGGAAAAATATTCCAAATTTTTTTTATTCATTTTTACATCTCTGTATGACAATCATCATTCATTACACGAAAGTTCAAATGTTTCTCCATTTTCATTCAGAACTTTAGGACAACAATTGAAAAACATGACTAATGGAAAGGAGGACATGTCAAGGTCATTAGCTCATAATAATTTCCCATTTTAAATTGCTTGGAGTCCATATAAACCTCATGCATGTTCTCCAGGATTAAAATAAAAGTTGAATAAAGTTTTAATTAATAAGTGCATTATTAAATCATGTTGTGGACATTCCTGGACTGGAAGTCCAAAATAAAAAAATATAAGGACAAAATTACCTCCAAATTGCCAGCAATTTGTATGATACCAATATGGATTCGATTATAATTGATTACGATCAGGTATACAATTGGTAATAGTCTCAGTAGTTTTTGCTTTTAAGTGATTAAAAAAAAACCGTTTTGAAAGAACTCCAATTTTTTTAAAAAAAAATTATGCAAAAATTTCAGTTTTGGTTCTTCTGTTTACAAAAAGGGGGAGAAAATTGAGTAAATATGGAAAATATTTAAGCCGTAGCATAATACGAGGATTCTCTAGTGTAAAACAGAGTATGATATAGTGATAAGAGAGAAAGCAGAGAGATAAGAGCTTTTTATATATTTCTCCTACATAGAATGCTTTAGTGTCATCAAATTAAAAGTAATTGTCTCTAATACTGGAAGGAAGTACGTACTTGTCACGCTATGAAGACTTTGTCATTCCTTTTGTTATTTTAATGGCCTGTAGCATAACATATTTTTTCAATTTGAAATTTCTTCAATTCTTTTTTAGATAAATAACATTTTTTTCTTACAGTTGATTTTAACAAAAATTGGAAAATCGCAAAAATTTCAGGACATTATTGAAATGTTTATTAAAGACATTTAAGAACACCCCCCCTTTTTTTTAAAGGAAATCAAGGACAATTTTCAGCCTTGCATTCTGATGGGTTAAAATGAAAGTTGAATAAAGCTTTTAATTAATAAAAGTTTGAAATCAAACCATTGTAAAATGAATAGCTGATTATGAACAAACCTTCCTTCAATGACTTCTATCACGTCACCAGCCTGAATTTGAAGTTTTTCAGGTTCTTCAAACACTTGAACACTAGTTAAGGTCACAGGACGTGCCTAAAAATAAAAGAAACATACTAAAATGCCCACAAACATAAAAATTGGTTTATTAATCACATAATGAGATAGCAAAGAATTACTGAGCATCCAAAATCTCAATCAATAGTCAATATCAACTGATAAATGTTACAAGGGAAAAATGAACCAAACATTTTTGAAACTCATCACCACATTTAATTCTCTATACAGAGGTACAGTGTGCAAAAAAAAAAAAAAGGATCAGACAAAAACATATTTTCTTCGAATAAACATGCATTTTTTTCAACAGACTGGGATTTCTGACAACCAAAATATAGGGGGTAGCCGCAATCAGCGAAATAGGGTCAGAATAGTTTGAACAGTGGAGCTCTCCAAAGTTTGGGCCCCTTAATGTTCATTTTACTTTTTGAGCATTTCACTACATCTCGAAAACCTTTTGAGTGAATCGAAAAAATTTTACGCACAGTTAAAAAATTCGTTTATGCAAAGATAAGTCCATGCAAAAAATAACTTTTAGTAAATATTTATTATTTTATTTAAGAATGGTAGAAAAAATTTTGAATTGTAAGGTAGACAATGTTCTGCGTCATTTTAAAGAATGCAATTTTACGTAGCAAAATACAAAATTTGAGCAAAATCAGTCAAACAGTTACAGAGAAATCGAATTTTTAAAAAGACATACACTAAAAATACTAAATCATAATCAAGAAATTAAATGAAATAATATAGAAAGATATATTTTAGGACCATTTTGCAAAATAAATGAATAAAACAAAATAAATAAATACTTTTAAGGAAATTAACCTCATTCTAAACTATAACTTTGGTAATAATTGATCATAAAATTTAAGGCACTTTTAAAATAATGTTTGAACCTTAATTACATTAAAAGATAAATCTTGCAATCTAACACCAGTTTCTAGTTGAATTCTAATAGTTCTAGTGAGATGAGGCTGTAGCACATTACTAACATATGTGCAGATTACATAAATATAAACAGTCAAACCTTGATATTTCAAAGTTGAAAGGGGAAAAAAAAAAATCAAAAATCCTATATTATGAAAAGTAGAATAAAGGGGGAAAAAAAGCTTTTTTACATACCTTTTATAAAGTTATCTGATTTTTATTAATACAAACACTGTCTATTCACACAAAAATTATTTATGAAGACAGGGTTGCCACTCAAATCTGGAGGGGAAAAAATTTCCTGTGTTTTTCCTGTATATATTATACACAATATATTAAGAGGAAACAACAATTATTGTGCTCTTGTGTGAGCTATAGTGGGCTAACTATATTTATTAGTTTTAAAAAACAGCTGAACACAACTAAATAATATGAAATGGTTTAGTACAGCTAAAATATCATGGTTAAATATCCCATAGATTACACTTTGAGTAGTCACCATTTTTTAAAAGACAAAAATAAGAAACGAAATTCCCTGTATTTTCCCAGTTTGTGAAGAAAAAAATCGAAATTCCCTGTATTTTCCATGTTCTCCCTTTGGAGTGGCAACCCTGAAAGAGATTCCCTCGTTGTTGAAGAATATATTTTAACAATTACACTTTCTAAATGGGCAACAGCTTGGAATGTGATCTAGGACATAATTGGCTGACTTTCTACAAATTCTCTCTGAGTTGGTTTTAAAGAGATTTCCCTAACATAAATGGTTTTATCTTCTCCATTCAATCCACCACAAAGCAATAAGGTTAATCGCTCCTTCATGACTTAACTTTTTACATGCATGGTTTTGTCAGGAAAGCATTTTTAAAAAAATAGTCCAGTTTCATCAGCATTAAACGCATCTTTTTCATCGCAATCTTTCCAGCATTTTCTAAATTCTGCGCAAACTTTCTTATCAATGTTTACATCAAACATCTTCAAAAATTCAATGCTGCTATGTTTTTTTTCTTCTTCTTTTTTTTAAATATTCAAAGCAACATTTACAGCTTTTGAAATTTAAATAGCCTATATCTTTTTCAAAAGAATCAGCTTTCACTTTAATTAAAAGTCCATCAAAGGTGGTATTTTTGAATTCTACATTGTATAATTCACTTCATTAGACATTTCTCAATTTTTGGAAATAAACTAGTGTTAAGCTTCTTACCTAAACTATCATCATACTTCTTCAGGATAATTGCTTTATTTTTTAGGATTATTGAAAATGTGCTATATGGAATCCAAATCTCTTTCGAAATTTATATTTTCTCGTTCAAACCTTTTCCCATTCATTGAGAATTTGATTCTTCACTTCAAAATAGTAAGCATATTAAGTTTTCGCTTGTTAGCCATATTAAGAGATGAATCACTAAAGATTTTATTCTCAATTTTTCATTTCATCGTTCATTTAAAGCCGTTCCTAACTTTTTCTGGGGTAGCTAAAAAAATTTTTTTTTCTTTTTTGCATCTTCAAAAATAAATAAAATTCAAGCTAATGAGGGAAAAAAGAATTGCGACATCACAGTTTATCAGCATTGAAAAATTGGAAATATGAATGAATTTTTCGAGTTATCCAGAAATTTGTAAAACCAAAAATTGAGTTTGTGAGGTTTAATTGCTTATGCATATTTATTTTAAATTGTATTTTTAATAGTCAGTGGGCCTCGAAACTTTTTTTTTTTTTTTACAAAATGAGTGGTCTGCATAACTAAAAAGATTGAGAACTGCTGCAGTAGAGGATGATGTGAAACTATAAAAAATTATCTATGTTTTGTATTTTTATGTTGATTCCTAGTGTTTAATTCTAAGTAACTGCAAAATACATTCTTTATTCATAAAAATATTTATGGCAAATAATGTGTAATGAACGAATTCAAGATAAAAGGTAAGGTACCTCACACAGGAAATCTTGAAGGGCTAAAAATGTTGGTCTATCACCTGGCTTATGAGCCCAGCACTGCAACATCAGTTGATAAATATCTGTTGGACAAGCTTCAGGTCTTCTCAGTCTCTCTCCTTCTTGGTCAATTTTTTGCAAGATCTATATTGATATCAACATAAGCATTAGCAAAATAGGCATTTGGGGGGAAAAACTGAATTTTGGTAACATAAAGCTTCAAAAACATTTTTTTTAAAAATTACAAATTAAACAGCATGAATTACAAATTAAAATGTAATAGAAATTGTATTTTAAAGGAATTATTTTATTAAATATTTTTTTTTAATTACATATTTAGTCCTCTCACTTTTATAGGACTTTTTATTAGCTTTTGTTCTAACTGCCAATACTCAATGAACTCTCAATTAGAATAATTTCTTCATGAGAATTTCCTAATTTAATAAAATTTTTAATCAGAGCTTAATTGTTTTAAATTAAGTTTAATTTATTTTGAATGTAACTATGAAAATAAACATTAAAAAAAATATGTGAACAACCAGAGTTCATTTTAAAAATTTCCCGATGATTTTATTAATTAAATGAAAATAGCTGTTCGTGCCAATTCCACTCTTCTAAGTCAGTTGCATGGTCCCTGGAACACAATTGAGCTTTTGGATTGATGCAAGTGATAAAGCCATGATTCGGGGCTCTCTTATTAAACTTAGTAACACAGATTGGGAACTTACACATTAACTTTTGTAAAAATTTAAAAAAGTCATCAAAAATAATGGTTTGCGTATGATTGAAAACATTTTGCCATGCACACTTTAGTCAAATGCCTTCATCATAGACTTGAAGAGAGAAATTTCATTATATATACTGACCAAAAGACATTTATTTATATTTTCAAACAAAATCTTGATAAGTGTAGTCCACGCCAGTGGCAACATCAAGATTTCTTTTCACAGTTTAGTACAGATGTGCACCATGTTAGTGGTGCCAACAACAGGGTCGTCGATGCTCTCTCACGCATTGGAGTTAATCTCTAAATTTTGAAGCAGAGAATGACGAAGCGTTACACAGTATCCAACGACAAATCTTCCCTCACCCTAAAAGAGATATTACCCCCAGAACTCACGAGTGATATATCAACTCGATCTCTCGGACCATTCGTGCCCAATAAATTCTGAAGGACTCTAATCGAACATTTCTATAATTTAGCAAATCCTGGTGTTGCAACATCTCTAAAATTAATAACATCACGTCGCGTTTGACCTTATATGCAAAAAAGTCTGTAAAACGTTCAAAGATGCATAAGCATACAAAAACACTCCTAGGTACATTCATCTTGCCTGATGCAAGATTTGCTCACATCCACATCGACTTGATAGGTCTCTTGCTTCCATCAGACGGAAAAATATAATTCTGCATCATTACTGATAAATACACAAGATGGCTAGAAAGAATGTCCTTAGCTGATATAACTGCCGAATCATTATGCCAGCCAATGTTCTATGGTTGGATACCTCAATTCGGGTGTCCTGCCGCAATAACAACCGAGTTCGACACTATAAATCTGAAGTTTTTTTAAAGAATTAACAAAATTTCTAGGCACAAATCGAATTTGAAAGACATCATTCCACCTTATATCGAACAGTATAGTGGAACATTTATACAAACTTTTAAGGAGCTCAATAAACCCTCACGATCAAGTGGAGTGAAACCTTACCTGAGGTTTTACTTGGATTACAAGCTGCTGTTAAACCTGACATAAAAATTTCTAAGGCCAGAGTTGGCATATGGTATGCCACTCAAAATGTTCAGACACCTCTTACGCCATGTCTTGTAACTGCACAACAACTGAAGGATAGAATGAGTAGTTAAAAACTGCTCACTGTCACAAAATATTTGTGCACTCTCAATTGAAGGATTGTGTTCATAGGTTTCTTCATGCAGATAAAGTGGTCCCACCTCTGACTCAACCTTAAACTGGTCCACATGAGGTTCGTAAAAGAACTGACAAACACATTACCATAGAAAAAAAAGGTGAAAAAGTTTTGTTTCTCTCGAAAGTGCGTTAGCGTGTATTCAATTTTAATTAGTTGTCCTACCTTACTGCTGATTTTGTTATTAGTAAATCATCACCAGCTGATCCTCCATATGTACCTAACGATCGACATGTTTCCTGAGAAAATATTCACCGAAGTGAGACAAACTCTTTAATGACTGGTGATACTAACTCCCATTTTATATATTTCGTTTATCAGGCAAAGTTGTTTTTTGATTTTTGTTTTCTGTGTATGTATATTCGGACATTTAAACTTATTATTCATATTCATCAACTTATTTATCTGTAGTGTCGTGTAACATGCATATAGAAATCATGCTCCCTTTTCAGCATGCCATGACCAAAATTTTGATATAAATTGTGAGCTCGAGAAAGTCATGTATCTTTCTGTCAATTCTTTCCATGACTGGGGGAAACTCACGTAGCAGAATTATTTCTAAAACTTGTACCACTTGCTGCATGCACAGCCATCTTGCCACTAAATAACAGCTACAAGCACAGCCAATACTCAGTTTATATTAAGGTTTTTTTCCCTAGGAATGTGATCAGAGAGGTGCACAGAGTTAAGATGGTTTTCAGATATGGCGTGCAATACAATATCCAAATATTTATAATACCGTTTACAGAACCAGGAAATGAATTTGAATGTTAGCTACATTGCCTCATGGGTTACTAGCAGTCGGTGTCTGTATCCACCATAAAACAAACTATACATAAGTACATGGCATGTTCCTAAACACAAACACGACATGAATGTCATTTTCATAGAACTTAAAATTAGTAAGTATGAGACTTGAATGATGATAACTTCATAAGATTTCACACATTTTCTAGCAGTCAAAAGATTACTCCCAGTATATAACGGTAGAGTATATATAATCATTATCAGTAAAAATGAAAGAAGAAGAGAGATGGATATTGAACAATTAAGTAGCTGTATACATGGGTGCAAGTTGGAAAAAAGGCCAAGACTGAAAATTTTTTGACTGAAGTACATACACAATACACCCTTGACATATGCAAACTATCTAAGAAAGCTTTACCGTAATACATCAAGTTTAAATACTGTACAAAAAATATTTATTCATCTGTCTTTTGATAAAATAACAACAGGACATACGAAAGTAGACCAATAACGTAGACCTAAAAAATATTTTTAAGGACAGGAAAAAAAATATTCCGATTTCCGTCTTCGAGTCAGCCTTCTTTCCGTCTTACTTCCGTCCGCGGACATTTTTGAAAGACGGAAATCCATCCTGGGGACAGAAGACTTGCACCCATGGCTGTATATTACAGGAAAAGTGGCAGAAAAAGTGCAAGAAAAGCAAAATTCTCGAACTTGAAAATTTTGATTGAAGTCACATAAGCAGACATTTGACTACTCTGATAGGTTTAGTGCATTATTAACAATTTTTTTGTTAGTTACTTAATTCTTACTAAACTTACTAAATTCTTACTTAAAGACGTGTTTTGTCAAAAATGTATCAACTAACTCTTTTGATGAGCTTATATTCATGGTATTTTTGAGTACTTACAATATAATGAGCGTTTTTGTCTAGACCACAAGGTTTGCAGTATTGAGTATCAATTGTATTATGTCTTTAATTTTCTTTAGATCTATATAGGATAAAGTCAATAAAATGATTTTAATGTCTATTAACCTGTGCTCCAGATAATGCTGCCCAAGGCTCTTCTCCAAAAGTAAACATTTCCCACAAAGTAACCCCAAACATCCAGGTATCACTGGCATGTGAAAACTGTCTCGACTTAAGGCTTTCAGGAGCACACCTATTTGAATGAGAAATCAGATTTTTATATTTTGCAAATAATTAATGTAAGTTTTTAAGAAAAAAGTACTTTAAAAATAAAATACACAAGGAACAATCAAGAATATTCTTTTCAATATACATAGAACAAAAAAAGAACATACAGAATAACTTTTGATCTAATGATTGAATTATCATGTACTAAGACTCAATCTTAATGGTTCCAGGAGCTTAATCCACGATATGCTGATTAATTAGTGCAGGCAATATTTTAAATTATGAAATCAGATTTTCTCCATATACATTACATAATATACATTTTTTACAATGGATTCCTGACTCTCAAAATATGGGGGGTAGCTGTAATTTCTAAGATATGGCCTAAATAGTTTGGTCAACAGAGTAATCGAAAATTTGGACCCTTTAGGGTTAATTATGTTTTGCATGATCTAGAGAATTTTCTAAGCAGATTAAAAAAAACTAAAAAATTTGTCTACTTGAAGAAAATTACAGGCAAAAATAATTCTTTTAATAATTAATATATCTATTTACATTATTTTTTTACTTTATTTAATAATTGTAAGCTAATTTTTGTATCATTTTGAATGCAATTTTAAATTGCAAAATACAAGATTTGAACAAAATAGATCTAATAGTTCTCGAGAAATTAAATTTTAAAAATAAAACTTTAAGATTTAGTACGAGTCTTAGTATGTGACAGTTAAAGTTATTCAAGGTGTAAAATTTTTTTTAAATTCTAATATTTTAATCAGGGCTCGAAAACAGCCCGTCCGCGGCGGTCAAAAATTTCACGCAGACAACGAATTTCTCGAATCCGACGTCCGCGCGGACGGCCATTTTCCCGTTAATGTTCGTGATACATTTTTTATTTTTTTTTTATCTTACAAGAGTCTAGCGCCTAACTTCTAAAATGACCCTCTAATCTAGAAATACTGCAACATACTGCGCATGGTGGAATTGATGTTTTCTCTGACTGGGAGTACTGCAGCGGTTGAAAGGGGCTTTTCAACAATGAACTTACAACAAACACATTACGTACTGGTCTTAAACAAGANCTTTTAATAATTAATATATCTATTTACATTATTTTTTTACTTTATTTAATAATTGTAAGCTAATTTTTGTATCATTTTAAATGCAATTTTAAATTGGAAAATACAAGATTTGAACAAAATAGAACTAATAGTTCTCGAGAAATTAAATTTCAAAAATAAAACTTTAAGATTTAGTACCAGTCTTAGAATGTGACAGTTAAAAATATTCAAGGTGTAAAATTTCTTTTTTATTCTAATATTTTAATCAGGGCACGAAAAACAGCCCGTCCGCGCGTCCTCGGCGGTCAAAAATTCCACGCAGACAACGAATTTCTCGAATCCGACATCCGCGCGGACGGCCATTTTCCCGTTAAGGTTCGTGATAATTTTTTTTTTTTTTATCTTACAAGAGTCTAGCGCCTCACTTCTAAAATGACCCTCTAATCTAGAAATACTGCAACATACTGCGCATGGTGGAATTGATGTTTTCCCTGACTGGGAGTACTGTAGCGGTTGAAAGGGGCTTTTCAACAATGAACTTACAACAAACACATTACGTACTGGTCTTAAGCAAGAAGCGTTAAACGCAATTATAAACATCTACCTAAATGGAAAACCCCTTTCAGATTTCTGTGCAGAAACCTCTGTAAATCTTTGGCTTAATTGTGGAACTGGCAAACCTCATATTTGATTCATTTAAAAAAGGCAGTACCCTCGAATAAATTGACGTTCCAGATAACTTGACTTTTGTCACATAAATTATTTCATAAAAGAAATACATATTAGGTTACTGTTAGTAACCTAGTATTTCTTTTATTACTGTATAATGTAACCCTAGTTTTTGTAATCTTAGTAACTACTAATTCATTGTGCAATTTATATAAATGTTTATAATAAATAAGAGAAAATTATATTTTTATTTATTTAGAAGCTATGGGTTAGCTTCAAAGGAGGACGGGTACATTGTTGGACAAGACGTCCTCGGGGACGGGTAAAATTTCTGAGTTTTTTCGAGCCCTGATTTCAATGCAATAGAAATAATTCAAAGATTAAGTTATGTTGAGTAGTTGTGTACATATAATGCAGTTTTTCCAAATGGAAAAAATTTGTATCACATTTATTAGCTGTATTATTATTATTTGTATCACATTTATTAGGTTAATAAATGTGGCACAATTACTAATATACTAAACACGCACTTATCTGTTCTTTTGACTAAATTCTGAATATTTGGCTCATCAATTACTAATTATTAGGCATTACTTGTTTCCTAGCATTAAAATGTTTTTTTTTTATTAATTTATAATCAATTTTAAACATTCCCAATCCTTACTGAATAAAAGAGTGTTTAGCAACTAGGTACTTAAATAATAGGGAATATAAACAAAAAAAAAATTTAAAAAAGAACTAATTTTTTAAAAGCTGTTTTTTTCTTTTTGCTAGAAAATACCCATATAGTCATATTTAATCTGCCATAAGATAAAAATAATAAAAGTAATGCAGAAACACTAACTTACAACAACTCTAAATCAGCAAAAACAAGTTAAGTAATTTAAAAAACCATGCTTTTGTATTAAAGTAATTCAAATTTTTATGAAAATAAACATAAAAAGGCTAATAAAAATTAAGTTATATTACTAAACATAAAATTTGACTTTAAATGATTATAAACTTTAAAACCTTACATATTTTTAAAATGAGCAATAAACATTGAATCACCAGTTTCAGTTATCAGTTGATTAGTTTAATTTCACACTTTTAATGGATATCCGTACATTAGACAATTCATTTATCTAAGGTATTAGATGTTTCTTAAAGTAAGAAGTAACATCTGTCGACATTCTGAGTCACCTTTCATCCAATTATTAGTTGATAATTTCCCCATCATGTTAAACAGCCACACGCACAGACTATTGTTAATAGTTTCAGAAAAGGTTGATTTACATTAGTTCCGACCTAGGAGAATACTCAGAGCAGTGTTCTCCCTAAGAGTTTTTAGAATGGCGACCCACCCTGCCTGCCTTTGATACCTATAACTGCACCCACTTTGTATAAATTAATTCACAGAGTAAATAATAATCATACACTGGTAAAATTATCTGTGTTTATAGGTTTAATTCAGATTAGGATTACAGATATTTACTTTGTTAGGATTATTCTCAACTCTTTACATTTTTATCTCTTTTTTCAGGGTGGGATATTAATAAATTTATTTAATGGTTTGAATTTTTAAATTTATTTTTCAAATAAATAACTTTTTTTTTAAAAAAAATGCAGCTTTAAGTGTTTATTTTCTCTTAATTTTCATTTTAAATTATATAAAAATCTTTCAAGTTGTTTATCAATTAATAATTTTTTTAGTTTAATTTTTTTGAAAAAAAATTATGCCCACAGATAATCTATTAGTATGCCTTTAATTATTTTTATAAACTACAAATTTTTCTTTTTTCTCATAATGAGAGAGAATCATTTTTTCGAAAAATATACATAAAATAGTATATGAGATCAAATAAAGTTATTACATAATACAGTAGAGAACCAATTACCCAGGATGCTTGGGACCATTGCTATCCTGGATATCTGCCTTTCCCGGTTTTCTGGATCGACCAAAAAGTGTTGTTAATCGATGTTTTATCGAATCCGAATTACAAGGAAAAAGCGTAACATATTTTAAAGTAAGAGAAAAAAAAAGGCCCTCCTAAATTTTAAAAGAATAAAAAAATTTGCAAGTTTAGACAAGAAAAACAAGTTTAAAAAATACAAAATTCTCATATTTATTTTTTAAAAATAATTACAATTCCTAAATTAACTAATATAAACAAAACCAATGATTTAATAACGCAATACATTTCATACCAAATTATAAGGGGGGGACGATAAAATAAAAGGAAAACTTATTAATCTAAATAAAAACAACACTTGAAAATTATCGGAGCAGTAACGATAGTTAAAAAAGGCACTGGCATAAATATTAAAACACGGAACAAGGCAAGATCAATAAGATCAACAAAATTTTTTAAAAAAAACCTAATGACAAAATTTATGAATAAAAATAATTAATTTATAGAATGCAAAATTTATCGTGAAAAGGGGAAAAAAATCAAACGTAGTGGAATCAGAAATACAAAACTGCAATCTGCTTCATAAAATAATCGTATGTTTAAATTAGTAAACAATTCTCCTTTTATTTTTTTTTTATAAAAACAAGATTTATAATTAAAGCAGATGTGATTCCACACCAAGAAAAACTTGCTAATGATACCGTACTTCCAAAGAATCAGAATTTATTCAAAAAGAAGAGTTATAATTAATCGATGTCAAATAGATAAATATATTTTTCTCTTTCATCTTCTGTTCACTGAAAACGAAATCAGCATGCCACTCTTTTTAGTTTGATTGACGACGTAAAGGGGAAAATGAAACATTTGTCCCATGCCTCTTCTCGAACTGAAGATCTTCAAAGTCACGGAAGATATGACGCCCGAAAAAAATAATAAGTGCAAATCATAAAGCTTTTATACATTGTTTCAAAATGCGCTNATTCTCCCCTTCCTCTACACAACTTGGAGGATGAGTCCAATTTCGGCTTTTTTTCATAATCGTTCTAGTTTAAAATGGCGGGAAAACCGAACAAAATTTTTCGCGGTTTTCTGGATACCGGATAAATGGTTCTCTACTGCATGACACATTTTGATAAATTCTCTGGGGCTGAATATCATGTAAGTATATTACTAGACAATACAAAAAAAAATTTAATAAAAAGGAAAGAAATAAAAAATTTAAGTAAAATGGTTATCATTAACTAAATAAATCTCAAGTGGACTCTTCATTGAAACAGGTGGTTAAGAAAACATCCTCTTCCTTAAAAAAAATTAAATTAATAATAATTATAAAAAGGTAGTGCTTTTAAGGGATGGATATTTTTAGAAAAAGGGCAAGAAGGGCATATTTATAAGGATCAAATGGCAGGTGATAGTATCACTAGTGAGTTATAAAACGTGTGTTCTCTTACAAGTTTCAGAACTTAACAAATATGAGTAAATACTATTTCTAGTAAGAATCATTTTGTAAAAAATACATTTTTAGATTATTCTTTATTAAATCTATTAAAATTTCTCCCAAAAAATCTTCATCAAACAATAATTTTCCAATTAAATACTGCAACGAATATTCGGAAAAAGGGCTGAATAGTGGCCAAATATTAATCATATCCCTAATTTTAACAATAAGACAATCTTTGATAACTTAAAATTAGTTGCAAATAACTAAAAACGTCAGAAAAAATTAAATATAAGTCATTACTAACCAAGGAAAGGGAACTTTCTTATGCTCAGTCATAACATAGCAGTCTTCTTGATTAGGTAGAGCCCTCATCAGTCCAAAATCTCCAATTTTAACCTGTAAAGCATTGAAAATAAAATGCAACAATTTAAGCTAGTCTAAAATTACAATAGTAATCCTTTGTGACAGGGTTGGCAGGTTTTTGACATGTGACAGTTTTTGACAGTTTAAACCATGGTTTAAACCGTCACGTCAAAAACCTCACTGTCAAAAATGTCAAAAACCTATATTCATATGTGAAATTTAATTAATACATAAAATTTATATATTTTTTAAAGGATAGTGTTTCTAAATATGTTCTAGAAAAAATAAATTTAAAATTTTGAAGAAACACTTATATTTTGAATAGTAACCAAAATCTTGTACTTTTGAAAGCTCACATCTTTTGTAATATTATGTATTCATTTTCATGTG